CACTATGTACGGGTCTCTACGTCAATTTGTTCTGATATCGTGCCGCCTGCCGGTCGGGAGTCGTAGAAAAAATCATTAGACTGCCTCATTGGGTGTGCACCAGAGACCAGACTACTGTCGGGGTATTAATGTTATGAAGGAAAAACAGCTCCAATTTGATTTTTTTTGTTATATCCTGATTCAATAAAGGTCGCTTCGCGCATTGGGCAATTTGCTCATATGGAAGCTATTTTTTGGTAGTGGCAAGCAGATCATTGCTATGGGTATCGTATGCCCAAATGTAAATGCCCAATGACCAATTGCGAAAGCAACCCTAATTGAATTAGGTAAATGTATCTATTACCATGTGATAACGAAGAAATGATCTGATCTGTCAACACTCCGCTGTCTTGTCGATCTTCTATTCGAACAAACCTGCCTTCGTCAGTTATTTCCTTCCTGAGTTGCTCTTCCAATTCTTTGTAATCTGTCAAGTCTTCCACAACCTCCATAATAACCTAGGGCTAGTGACAAAAAGTAAGGCAAGCCAATTTCATCATCTATATGAAAGAGAGGCTATAGGGTTTTACTATGTATATCAAGGCATCTCTGGTCACTAAGGAGTAATTTGCCACCCCAGTGATTTCCTGGTTATTTTTTGGAATATTTAACAGTTCGATTACATCGATACTTTTTTCCCAGAGATTGGAATATAGTTAAAGTTACGCCCCTTCATAGATTGACAACTAAAGGCTAGTTTCAATATTACCTGTGATCAGTAAAATTTACGAGAATATTTTATACAAAAAGCTATTGGAATACTTAGAAACTGAAAATATTTTGACAATCACCAGTTTACAGGCGGTTTCATTCCGGTGACTTCGTCTGCTTTGTTGGATTGCACAAATGATTGGTATGTGAACATGGATCGTGGCGTTTGTAATCTGTTTTTTTTCCTAGATGTTCAAAAAGCGTTCGGTACCGTGGATCATGAGACTTTTTTCAAACAATTCATAGCCTATGGCACCACAGGTAGTGCGCTTAACATATCATTTACAAGATCGTGAGCAAAATGTGAGGTGAATGATTCTTTGATTTATTCTTTCAGGGGAAAGAAATAATTATGAGGAAGAAATAATTATCATTTCTGGCTTGCCCAGGGTTTGAACCGGCTTACGTTTCGTGTGACCCGTCAGACCCGGGGGGGGGGGGGGGGGGGACTACTTGGGTCAATTTTTGCTTGGTATGTGCCGCTGGCCTCTTAGAGCCCCTACCCCATTATAGTCTATTCTGTGGCCAATTATAGACCCCATCTCAGTCACTTTGGGGCAAAAATGTAATTTTTGCGATCCCAACTTAGTCACTATCTATTCATGTATCTGCCTTACATTGAATGAAAAATGCCAACAGTACAAACATCCTGGTACGTTTGCTAACTGCTAATATGAAGAACTGTCTTACCCCAAAAATCAGAAAATGTGCGACCCCATTCTAGTAAACTCTATTGAAAATGGGACCCCATTATAGTCAATCCAGTCGTGAAATTGTACCCCATCCAGCGGCACATCCCCATTAGCCTCTCATAAGGGAGTACCTGCCTCGGGCCGTCAGATCAGATGAGACTCTAAATTGAGGGATTAGCTAGCCTGCGAACAGCAGACGCATTTCCGGTCGTCGCTTTTCTTCCTCCGAAAAATAGGGAGAGAAGCGAAGACCGGAAATGCGTCTGCTGTTCGCAGGCTAGGGATCAGCCGATTGCGCCACAGCGACGCAAGGTAATTTGAGATGTGAAAAACAGCCATAAGTTGTGCACGAGGTACGGTTTAATAAAGATTCGGTCCGCAAGTTTGTTACTTTTCGGCTTGTTTTGGGTATTTGACGTAGAGACGTCGGAATGAGTTGGAGATATAGCGAGATCACTTCTAGTTCTTTCGACTACAATAAATAATTGAGGCGGAACGCAAACTAATGTCCTAAGCTTGCATTTTGTTTCCCAAGTGAGGCCGGAAGTTGTTCGAGATATCTCGATATCTCGAGATCAGCTCGAGTTGTTTAGCTTATCTGAGGAAGAAAGAAATATTATTTTTTGTTCGCCCTTCGCTTTGTAGTTACTTATCCTTGCCGCGTTAGATCGCGGAGACGAGATTGTAGCAGAAAAGTAAAAGATGGTTGATTCGTAAGTTTAATTTTTTTTCAATTTTGGGCGAGCAGCAAGTTAATGTTTTGCTGCAGGAATCCGAACAGTCGGCGTGCGACGATTAGTTATTTTGGCCTTATACACTGTAGGAAACTGATTGAAACAGGAAGTCGAGTTTTGGCATTCGTGAAACGTTATTTTTGAGCAAATTGTTTTTATAAGAGTAAAGACATTAGCAATACAAAATTGGAAATGTCGATGCTTATTATTGAGAGAAAAGCTTTCAGTTCCGCTTGACGTGCGTAGCTCAAAAATGGTTCGTTTACGTTATTGCAGTGGTGAGAAGAGATCATAAGCAGAGGATCGAAATAAACCAATCAGAGATAGACAATTTGAAGGGCATGTTTCGTGAAAGGTCATCTGAATTTGCTGCTTCTGTGATTTTATTTTCTGATTGGTTTATTGTGTAGGGCGTATAATGTCCTCGGCAGAAAACAGACTAGAGTTATCCAACAAAAACAGCTTTAATCTCGGTAAACAGACTCAAATCTCACACGTGGTTCGTAGTGAAGGTCTCTCCAAAAACCAAGTGCCCGGATTACTAAAAGAGTAACCGCTGACCTAGTATAAACATTACAATTCTTCCCAGGTAGATACAAACCAGATGATTAAGAAAGAAAAAATTAAATAACAAAAATTTCGCGAAAACGAAATGACAATAAATAAATAACAGCAAATAACTGAACATTTTCAGTGCCATGCAGAGCTGACAGTTCTGATCAACAAGAGAAAACTAGGTTACCAAAGTTCAACTTATTGTCATAGCAAAGTCCTTAGTCCATAACACAGTCCTTGGTCCATTCCGGTTTCCTGATTCGCCTTCCACTGCGGGAGAAGAGGGCAGGTGATGATGGTTGTTCCACTGTGGTAGGCAGGTGGTTGTCTTTCACGGGGCTGGTTTCACTTGGGGTAGCCTGACAAAACTCTTCTTGAGTAGCTGGCATTTAAGTGAGTTCAATGGATTCTGGTCCATCAAAATCAAGCGGGGCTTGTGTAGTTCCACCTGAGGTACTGGACTGGATTCTTGGATGACTTCCATTAGTGGATTTGGCAGTTTCTTGAAGAAGGAGCTGTTACGGGTAACTAACTTCTGATCAGTTGTTCTCTTAGCAGTGATCATAGATCATTTAACATCTAGGATCGTGTACGGGACTGGTTCGAAACGAGGGCTTGCCTTGTTTTGAATTCTCTGCTTAACGAGAGTGTGATCTCCGACGTTCAGGCTGTGAGGCTTTGTTCGACGTTTGAGGTCGGCGTAGGCGTTCATACGCGCCTTCGTTTCTTGGCCCTTCTGCATGGCTTCAGCATCAGGATTAACTTAACTGTTACTCTCAGTGAGAGGGATCACGTGCCTTGAAAGGTAGTCAGCTGCGTTCTTGCTTCCGGGGCAGTATTTCAATTCAAAGTCAAACTGCTGCACGTATAAGAGCCAGGGTTCAATTCTTATGGGAGGTCTGCTATGGGAATTGTTAAAGAGCTGTAGCAGGGGCTGGTGATCAGTTTCAATGACAAATGAACTTCCAGTAAGGTACAGGTAGCGGCGTTCGCAGGCCCAACGGATGGCAAGGGCTTCACGGTCGATTTGAGGATGCCGTTTCTCAACCTCTGTCAGGCTTCGGCTAGCACACTCAACTGCTTTCCACCCTTCTGGTTTCCTTTGCAGGAGAACTAATCCAAGCGTGCCTCATAGTATCCGAGGACAGTGTCACTAGATAGTGTGTCCTTGAGTTTGTCAAATGCTGCTTGCTCTGTGCTGGACCAACACCATTTGTCCCCTTGGTGGGTGAGCTTGCGCAGGGGCGTAGTCATCGCTGCGAAGTTGGGGATAAATCTTGCGGACTACTGGGCTATACCCAAAAGAAAGTGCACCTCTGATACATTTTTCGGTGGGTCCATTTGTTTCAAGGCTTCAGCTTTGCTTGGCGATGGCTTCATGCCTTCTTTTTAGAACACAAAACCGAAGAATTCAATCTGAGGCAGACGAAACTTGCATTTCTTTGGGTTGAAGGTGAGACCGCATTCTCGGAATCGCTGGAGGAGGTTTTCAAGGGCTCTGTCATGTTCTGTGTTGTCTCTACCAAGGACTATGAAATCATCTCGGATGTAGAGCTCACCTTGTAGCCCTGAGATGGTGTCGTCCATTACTTTGTCAAAAATATCTTGTGCAGAGATTGTTACATAATTCAGCCTTGTGTACCTCATTTTACACTCAGTCCGTAAAAGGTTGTCATGTGCCTGCTGCTTTCATCGAGCTCATGCTGATAGTAGCCCTCATTCATACAGAACCTGTAGTGTCAACATTGATGTCAGAGTATCGTGACGTATTCTCTGGCCTGGGAAAGCACAAGCACATCAAGGCAAAGTTGATTGTGGATGAAAGTATCCAGACTGTCGCACACAGACAGAGACGAATCCCTTACAATTTAGGCCAAAAAGCTGCACATGAGGAACTGAGTTAAGGGAGCAAGGAGTCATTAAAACAGTACCCAACAAGCAACCTACTACTTGGTGTACAAATCCTGTGATAGCTCCTAAACTTCACAATCCTGAGGCCATTCGTTTTTGTTCAGACATGAGAGTACCACACACTGCAATTCTGCGCCCTGTTACAAAAGCACTTACTGTGGAAGACATAAAGTTCAAACTCGAGGGTGCCACTGTCTTCAGTGTCCTTGATAGGGCGAGGTACCAGTACAGCTTTCTGTGAGCTGTTTGGCTTCCTCTTGGGTGGCGTTAATCACATGCAATAGTTCTAGCTTTACGCTAGTATCAAGAATCAAGAGAGGTGGAGACTTGGTAATTCCCTTAGCAACAAGGAAACGGGTCATAGTTTTCTTTCCGGTGCTAACACCTTCAATTTCTGCATCGAAACAACCAATGAGGGGGACAGGTTCCTTTTGAGCGAATGCATACAACTTGGTTTCAGTGGGTTGCAAAGATATCTTCTCCTCGAGGGCGCACTAGAGCTTCTCCAATTTGTGCTCATCCATAATGTTTGCTGTGGAGCAGGAGTCTGCTTCCATCTTTCCTTTCACCCCGCTAATGCGAACCTGAACCGTAGCATGGTTAAGTGTGTGAGTGTGTTTGACTTGCCTGCTCGGAGCTGAAATGCAAAATCAGTGTCTGATGACTCTTCTTGTTCCTCCTGCCTAACATACTTGGCTGAAGATTGCTGACTGTGCTGTGAGTCCTTTGGTTTCTTCTTACTTTTGCACATTCGGGCGAAATGACTCTTCTTCGAGCAGGAACCGCATGTTTTCCCAGGCTGGGCACTGTGATCGGAGCCCTTTGTGGTCCAACCCACAAAATTGTCAGGAATTTCTCTTCTTGTCATCATGTGTCGGTTTAGGTTTTAGTTTGTCCTTGGGTTTCTGATGTCTCTTCTGATACACTCTGTTGACCTGATTTCGAGCAGGGGGTGCCGAAGGCAGAGTTCTCTCCATATGCTGGACTTGGCGGTCAATGTCTTCCTTATTTGCAGCATGTGCCGATAATTGCTGTATCGCATACCTTTTCATCATTGCATCCTGGCGGAGTTTTTTGTCACCCATGGTATGCAGAATTTTGCCGCGGGTGACGTCATCAGGGTCCAAGAAACCACACTTTGCAACTTGAAGCCGTAAACAAACGTGATATTGAGCGACCGATTCGGCTTCGCTTTGGCACATTTTCTTCAATTTACTACGCGTACAGTCGGGGTTAACCATGGCAATGAAATGGTTGTCAAGTTTGGCGATGAGTTTCTGGTACTCGTTTAGACTCTCGGCGGATGACTGTGAGAGAGCGTTTTCAAGCGATTCGATCAATTCCCGTATTCGTTCTCCTCCGTAAATGTGAAGAGCGTCGACACGATCCTGAATGCTTGAGATACGAAAATATCGTCTTCTTCCATCGACGACCAGTTTCATCAGGGTCCGAGTCAGCGATAAGTGCTTGCATTCTGATGTCCTTAGGTCTGGACGTCGAATGTTGAACAGCTTGTGTTGGCAACGTTAGTGTTGGAGATGCTGTCGTAGGATCTGTAGAGGTTTGCGAAGCTAGAACCGCTAGCGTTCCTTCATGGATGGTAGACATCCTCGTCGCCAAATATAATGTCCACGGCAGAAAACAGACTAGAATTATCCAACAAAAACAGCTTTCATCTCGGATAACTAGAAGAGTAACCGCTGACCTAGTATAAACATTACAGGGCGAAATCGATGAGCCAATGAGGGAAGAGTTGGATGTTTTTGATCCGAGTGATTTGGAAAGTTGGGATGAAGCAGTCAATACTTTGTTGAAATACGTATGTCAAGTTTATATATGGCGACTTCACATACAAATACACACCCTGTTCGCGGTAGGCCCACACCAAAAAAGGAAATAAGGCGTTTTCGGAATGGGCTGATCCGCGAACTTAAAGTTAATGAAAGGAAATTATTGAGACAGTCAAAGACATTACCAGAGTTCTAAATTAACGGGCGTCCAGTCGTCAGGGACGGCCAGAATTTGACACTGACGACCAAATCACAGATCATGGTTGCCCCTTAGACGACTAGAAATTAGCTGTCCGTTACCTAAAGATATGAACAGTTATCATAATGACGGAAAATTATAATCCTGAGTCAGTTTTTCTGCTGATAAATGGTACAGTGTAAAAATTATCAATTCTATTTCATTTTTTTGTTTTTACCATTAATTCGTACGTACGTAAACACGATCGTTCATATTGTCACCACCTTGTTTTGCGTTTACCACTGTGCAGTAACACCAAAGCTCCAAGAAAATTCCCGGATGTTCATGCCATGTGCTTCTTTTATAAAAGTCATGGCGGAACAGTTTGTTTCGCTATTTTAGCGTATCGGACAAAACGAAAGAGATTCCAAGGAAACGAAAAGAAGAATCAAACGTTTCTGAAAAAGAGACTGAACAAGAACTTTCAGCCGTTGCCTTGGCAAATAAGAAAACTCGAACAGAAGCAGAATACTCTGAACCTAAGAAAAACGTGCGGGTTCGAAAATTTCAAACTGGTCGTCCGTGTCTTAACTTAATTCTGAAGATACCAACTCTATGACCTGCTCATATTGCATAGATTATAACAGTAGAAATTTCATTTTATTTACCTCTTAAATTAAATACTACACTTTGCCATGTATTAGTGAACCACAAGCATTTTTAATAATGTCTATTTCAAGTTTAGGCTTTTAGTCCACCTTGGTTTTATTTGGCGCCTAGATTTAACCTTGGACGCCTGAATGTAGAAAAATGGTTGTCTCATGGACGACCTAGTTCAAAAGTTACTTTCGAACCCTGATTATGCTCAAATAGACGAAATCAGTTTTTAGGAAGTGAAGATTACACAAGTTACATGGAGAAAAGCTTGGCGAAAGAAATGTGTATAAAGTTTAAGAGTGAAGAGATTTCGACGACTGGAGAATTGAAGATTGCAGCAAGAGAAAGAGGTGCAGTCGTTTGTGTTGCATGTAGACGACGCGATTGGGAAAGTGATAAATAGATTGTCAACAAAGGGAAGCAAAACGCAATCAGGACCACCGTGTGCCACCGTGGTGCAGTGGTCAGGGAGTTTCTTGCTCATGCAGATAAACCGGGTTCGACTCCCGGCGACGCTGCTTCCTGTTTCTTTGTACCATTTTTTTTTTCCTGTTTGGTCTATTTTTTTTTAACATTATTTTTTCTTTTGGCCTTTTTTTCTTTATTCTTACTGCAGACCCTGCTGGTCATGCACTTGGATCAATATATATTTCAAGCTTAAGTCCGGAGTTTTATTTTGGAAAAGGGATACAAAAGCTCTTGATCTGCATACTGGCCAAGCTTACGACCAGATAAAAACCATAAGCTGTCGAGACATCTCCCTCCTCTGAAACGGCTGAATTTTTTTCAATGTTAGTTGACATCATGGCAAACACACACAGTACACCACAAACTGTACTAATTTACACCCAACACCCACCAGTGACCCACTGGCGAAAGTTAAACTTGCCTTTTGTACATCGTCTTAATCATCAATATCTCCACTGGATTTGCTCCCAAAAAATAATTAAACGAAACCTTTTATTCGTTTTCGGGATTTAATTACAGAATTACAGGCGTATGCCCAATACAGTATTAAAATACGTAAAGCAACAAGATTCAGTGCTCACAGTCTCATACAAATACCTGTCATTTAGGTCCCCCTTTCAACGTTACAGCTAAGCGAACTTTGAGAGGAATGATACGGGGTTTCACTAGCTCTGAAGAGCTGAAAATACGTACAACGTATAGTGTAATACATCCTTTGATGAACCTCCTATTGCTGTGTATAAACTCCTCAATCTTGCTGTGCACTGGCCCTCAAAAGTGTGACCGGTTGGTATGATTGCCCGTAAAATTTGCTCGACGATAGAAAGGAATCTTTAAAATTCATTACACCAATGGACATTTCATTCCAAAGAAGTACTTAAATCTAGTTTTTTGTGACAATAGAAACCTTAAAATCTCTAAATCCAAGAAATCGGAACGGTATTTCCGCGATAAAATCGAAACTTTTTATCCGCCTCTTCGATGAACACTTTGCTCGCCATTTTGAAAGTCACTGACGCGAGACGTGACGTCATACTGGCAGGCGGACTGTACCACAGATTTCCTTGGAGACACCTCCCCCCCTCCTGGTTACGTTGCTGGAGAAGGTGTGGATTTAACTGTGCATAAGGAAAGTGTTGTTGTAGAGGAATTAAAGGCAGTGGAACTCATGAGATCTCTTCGTGCGCAATTTATTTGTGACGGAAATTAAAATCTGATTGGATTACAGCCACGGGGTCATTAGACTGCAAAACAGTCCTTATTTTTGCGTATTCAAGTACGCGCGAGCGGTCAAACAAAAGGTCTGGAACGAGGCTGAAAACAGTGAGCGAGACTGGGGAGAGACGCTAAAAATACGTTTTTTTTCTCTCGCGTCACACGCCCTGGCGTGTGAGCCTCGAGCGCTTCGCGCGCGTAAGACTCTCACGCCACACTTTATATTACCTTTTTTTTTTTTTTTCTACTCGAGCGCTTCGCGCGCGTAAGACTCTCACGCCACACTTTATATTACCTTTTTTTTTTTTTTACTGATTTTGAGAAAAAAAACCGACTGTTTTGCAGTCTACGGGGTCATGCACCTAGCAGACTTGCTTCCCGTGAAGAACTTAAGACGTCTGTAACACAAAAGGAGAAAAGTAGGGTATTTGTATGGAAGGGTATTCGGAAAAATATCATTTCTTACTATTCCCCTACTTTCACAATTAATCCAGACGTGAAAGGACGCAATTTTTAAAGCTCTCTTCAAGATGGAAACTATATAAAGTAGCTGTGTCACGGCCGGTTAGTTCTGTTCATCTAGTCTATAATACCAATTACACATTCTTATGTAATAGGCATTGTTTGTGTTCTTGTTTGTGCTACATTTGTTTGAAGGCAGCGGTGGCATTTCTGAGGTGAAAGACACTATGAAAGCCTTGAAAAAATGGCGCTACTCGAGGCGAAACACGGGGATAGAGTTAAGTGCGGCTGATGCAAGCAACAGCTCATCACCGACCACTTCGCTAGAAAGCTGGCTTGGCATCAAACCGGAAAGCTTCTCCGCGACGTCCTGCGAAAGGTGGGTGCTTTGGATACGCAAATTTAAAGGCATTGCAGCCTTTAACATTAAAATAAAATGTAACAACTGAAGATTAGACTTACTGTTTGTCTGGATAGACCACAGTCGCCTCGGCGAAATTATTACGCTCCGCAAGATTAAACAGATGATGGATCAAATTCGGGAGCTAAATTTGACACTCCTAAACTATGAGGGGTCATCTCCGCCAATATTCTGTTTCAAATTCTGTTAGGAAAAACCTGTATCCTATTATTTTTTTTCAAAATTTTTCTCATAAAAATACAACCGAAGTTAGAGCAACGGAATAGAATTTAGGAAATCAAAACAGAAATTGAGTGAACAAAACGGAATTTAGAGCATCCCAGCAAAACGAAACAGAAATTGACGATGTCCCAATTTCTATTATGTTTTTCCGACGAACCGAGGGGAACCTGATTAAGAGCCAGTTGAACTTTATAATTTATTCTCCCGATTCCCACTCAAAGAAAATTTTATTCCATTTTCAAAATGGCCTCGCGTAGAGAAGATCTTCCATCCAGGTGTCTTTCTTTACTTAAAGAGATCAAAGACCTTATCGAGACTCATAACAGCGAACAAAGTGGCTCAGAGAACGTTAACTCCAGTGAAACAGCGCAAAGAGTTAGTCGTCCGTCGTCGTCCTTGCCGCAGACACAGGTGAGTAACCAACAGAGGGTGATGCAAAATTTTCGTACCCTTTTCGCACCATTTTCCGCCGGCGGTTCTTCTTGTAGGCGGCCACCGGCGAAGAAGCCATGGGGCTATTTTCAAGTAAAAGAAACGTGGACGCATGACTTTTTTTTGTCTTGCGTCCACATCTGCAGATTGTGTTCCGCGACGTCCCCAGAAAATAGCTTTACAAAACGTCGGGCTGGGGCGAAGAAAAGTTGTTTTTCCAAGCAGAGGATCTTTTGTCGATGTAAAGGAAAAACTGGAGATTGTCTACCCAAAATTGAAAGATGGTGGCGGTTTTGAATTACTAAGGATGGGCTCTCCAAGTTCAAAGCTTGCTCTAATATATCCCACGGCTGGAGGATATTCAGTGCCTTTCCTGCGGGATGCTGCGGGACTTGGCCAGGCACTGGCCTATATCAGGCCACTCCAAATGGACCTCGCCACGTCAGCGGTTCAAAGTGCTGAGCAGCCTGAGCAGGTATGTGTTTCCAACTGCAGCTGCTAATAAGATCAGATGAACTCTTCAACCAAACCCCACATGCAAGAGTATCAATAAATTGACTATCCTGTGGGGAAGGGGGGCACTCCCTGTAATGACCTATACGGGGCAGTCCCTTTTTCAATCTTGGGTATATAAAAGAGGAGGAATTTCGTGAGTTGAAGTATATGAAAGGGTAGGGAAATCTGTCCTTCAGGTATTTTTAAAAAAGGGTTCATAGTTTAGATATTAAGGGTTTATAGATATATTCGAACAGATGTACCTTGTGGTGGTAACATTTCATTTATTAAATGCTGCAAGACTATTGTTCATGAACTTCATATCAGGGTTTAGAAAAGGGATGTGGTTTTCTTAAGTAGGTATGTGAAAGGGGTACCATTTTTCAACGGAAGGTATACGAAAGGGGTACGTTTTGTGTCAAAAATGGTATATAAAAGGGTAAAGGGTTGGACCTTGGGGCGCAGCCTCCGCAAATAAAACTTTGTTGAGTGCCTCCCCCATCTCCCTGTGTAGACTGCTGACTATGTCTAGCTGTTGTTCTTAAAGCCAGTTAAAGTAGACTTTGAATAATAATTTAATTGTAAACCCTTAGGTAGTTTTTAGCCATCTAATGAGCAGTTAGCTAATACATTAAAATGGAAGTAGTATTAAGCCACCCAGACACAAATATAATTTTGTTGTCGATCGTTAAGCTTCACAGCCAGGGCAAAAAATCTTTACAATAACCTGTACCAATTTCTGTGGAAATCATATTTGGGATATGATAGTCTGCATTGTTGGTTGCATATATGAGCAAGCAGTTGAAAGCATAGTGAAAATGAGATACATCTGGGTATAATCTCGTATACAGATCTCCCACGGCCAAGGGAAAGGAAGAATCTCACTTTTCAGTGTAAAACAGAGTGAGATCTGGGTACGAGATTAATCTGGGTGTTGTCCTCAAATTTGAGGCTCACTTTACGATGAGGCGCCTGTCAACACATTTTTCCAGTTTTACTGGGGGGGGGGGGGGTTGGGTTTTTGAAGTAAACGGACTTATGTTAACCGCTTTTTTCAAGGTCCAAGACAATGTACTTCCAGTGACTGTGAAGTGCCTGGAGTGCCAGGAAGATGTTGCAATGACAAAATTCCGGCAGCACAAAGCACATTGCAATATCAAATGGTAATTTCACTTGGATCTTTCAAATTCACTTTTGTTTTTTTTATTTGAAGCTTCCTATTGTTTTACTCTATACCATGAACAGTTATCAAAATCTCTATGTTTCATTTTGCGGTATGCACCATTTGGTACATAACAACTTAGTATTCTTTGCTGTATTACCCAGCATTTTTGATTACCTACTTTCCTTTCAGACTGGTTGTAATTATCATTTTTGTTTGTCACTAGCCCATCTACAACCAGGGAACCAAAGGATAACCAGGGAACCAAAGCAGTTCCAGTTAAAACATCTGTCTCCATGTTGTCCCAGATCTTCTCTGATAAACGAAAAGAGGTGATTGAAGAGGCAGTAAGGAGAGCAAATGGAAGTGTCGGTTTAGCGGCAGAAGAGTTTCTGGAAGGTGAATAATACCATAATAGTATAGTCCATATCACACAGAGAGGGTATAAAGTAGAAGTGGTAGTCATTTCCTCAGTTTTTATATCCAAGTTCCTCCAAACCATTCGTTCCTAATACATTGTGTATGTCTCATTGTCAATGCAGAGAAGGATATGTCCTCTGACTCCCCTGGCCTAAGTACTAGCTCCTTGTATTCTTCTTGTTTTGTACCAGAAGCATCAGGTAATTTTAACCCATTATCATGTTACTCATTTCAGGTTAGAAAGGCATGTTTCTCAGAAACGAGTCTGTTTATTTGTGAGGTTTGTTATTTGTTTGTTTTTTTTTTTGTTTGTTTTCCCCCTGGATAGTAAGCACCGACTGGCGTGCTTTCTGCGGAAGTCTTTTTAATCTTTAATTCTTGGTGAAATTGAGCAAAATGATAACAGGAATTAAGCGATTGTAAACATACCTTCTTTGAGTATTAAAACAATGTGCTCATTATGAAAAGCCTGTTCCTGGCGTTCAGGGTCTAAGAGGCGGGATTCCAAGGCAGGGGAGGGGAGATGTGGCTGTCTATACCCTTTCCCTCTTGTAAAGTTGAAAAATAATTGAATCAGTTGGGCACTTGATATATAAAAATATGTGTAACGCCTATAATCTTTGCCATCATTTGCATTCACAGTGTAAAAATAAAAATATCAAAACATATCAACGCTAAAAACGGTAACTCAAACTTAACTCTAACTCAACTCTAACTCGTAACTCGATCGTTATCCTATCTCCAAATTTTCAGGCCCTAGGTAATGCATTCTAGACTACATGGATTGAGTTCGTCGAACGTAATCGAACTCACACAAAAATCGATCGGTCAATCGAATCCAACCACACAATCGAACGCTCAAATACCCAACTCTTTATAGAGAGACGAGATCACAGAGGAGACTTCCGAAGTTACTTCCTGATCAGTTGATCGTTCTCTGTGATTTTGACCTTAGGAAAAAGAAAACAGTCTTACCACTTCATTTACTGTTTATACTTTCCACTATGACAGTGATTTCTTCTCGGATATCCAGTAAGCCAGAAAGCAGACCGCCGGGAACTTTGTAGCTTCAAAAGGAGTGAGGCTACAACAATGAAAATCAGGGAGTCAATAGTAGACACGGAAGTCTGTAAATTGAAAATGAGTCGAATGATATAATATAATGCGGTAATAACATTAATTTCGGACCGCCGCCATCTTGGATCCGCCATTTCAGATCAGTGGCAAGAAGGTTTCAACGTTGCTGAAAAGACGTTAGGCTGTATAAAACAATGGGAAAATAATTTACACGATCATTAGACAGCTAACTTTGTTAAATCTAAACATTTATGTGGTCCCTCTAGATAAACAATACTCAAATTCCTTGAAGATTCATGCGGCAAGAAATAACAGAATCAACCGTGCCAAACACCATAAAACAAAGAAACATGGCAATGAAATTAAATTGGGAAAGTATATCCTATTAACGGCTCTTGGCCACTGTAAATGAACTGGATATGAACAGTTTACACCCTTAAAACCCTTTAAGCTTCATCGTTAACAGTTAACCAGTTTCTCATTTGTTTGTTTCTAATAATATTTCACAGTTTTTTTAAAGCTCAAACTGTAAATTGAATTAGTTTTAGGCGCGCGTGATATTGTCAGTATTCAGATTGCAAGTCAAACACTTAAGCCGCTTGCTCCCTAAGATCGGGGAGAGCTAGCAGATTTCTTCAAAGCTGCGGATTTGCCTTTACCGTAGCGCGGAAAGAGGTAGTGTCACATCCAAGAGGACGTGAATAAACAACATGTGACAAACACAACACCTGACTGCTCCTTTACTGCACTTGCGTTACCCGTGTTCTGTGGTTTGATTTCCCCTCAGTAAACGAGTCATGCTCTTGCTCGCAGCCATCTACGATAGGTCTTCCGTACATTATACTAGCATAGTCGCACTGATAAAACAAATGGACCTTCGAGACCACGTAATTTGCTGAAGCAAATTTCTTCCATCCAATACATTTTGAATTTTCACCTACTGTGCCGGATTTGGCGTTTTTCAATACCCCAATACCCCTTCTTCTCTTCGACTTAGCTCACCACTCTCATTTAACTGATGAATGCAAATTTTAAAAGAGGGGTAGCAAAAATATCATTACCGTGCTGTTAATTTCTCACGTCTCAAGCTATTTTTGGAGAGATTTAACAAATACAATAACGTGGAGACAGAAGACCCAAAACCCCAAAGCGAGGGGTACAAAATCTGGATTACTCTAGTTTCTCAAGCTTACCAGTAAGCGCCCCTGAAATAAACGAGGGGGACATGGGGGTTTACGGTATTGCGGTAGTGGGCTTTTTTTCATGCGGTATTTCGGTAATTTTAAATTTAACGTGCGGTATTGCGGTATCATCTAGCTCTGCGGTATGCGGTTTTTCATCATTTTGGCTGACGGTATTCGGTGAAATAAGATTGCTCACGGTATTACGGTACCGTTTATTTGCGCTTTCCTTTCGATACAATACGAAAAACAAAACACAGTAAGACATAAAGGTCAATAAAAGTTAATATTTAGAAATCTTGAGACATAACGGTAAATGATTACACCATTTGTGGGTCATTTTGTGACAGTTAATGGTCGATAATATACAATGTGATTGTTGTTGCATCCAATGATAATGAGTCGTCTCAAGTTACCTTACCAGGCTTGTCGATCTGTGTACCTGTGCCGGTAATTCGAGCCGGAGGTCTTAAACGTTTTCTCACAATGTCTGAGGTCGCTGAGGTTGAAGACGGCGTGGTCATCATTGACTGTGTGGCAATTTTTTATGAAGAGGGCGAAGGAGGCGAACATTATGGCAACAAGAATAAGTTTAGATGTTGGGTTTCGAGAATTGAAAAACGCCTTGTAAAGTTAAAAGCGAAAATTTGGTAAGTTTGCCTCTTAACAGCGCGGCGTCATCCTCGGAGACCCGGGGCAGATAAAGGGGGCGAGGGAAAGTCTAAACGGGCGGAAAAATATATATGGAACGAAGAAAAGTAAAGAACGGCGAGAAGAGCCCCTGGGACAATGTCTTACCAGACCAGTTCCAAACGGTCGCCGCCGTTCTGGCTTCTGATTGGTGCCAGAAAACTTGTGTTTTTCTGGCACCAATCAGAAGCCAAGAAAATTGCGAACTACCAAAATATTTTAAAAAAAACATGGACATCTGGATCTGGTTGTTCAAACGTCGGATAGCACTATCCACCGGATAAATCACTATCCAGCGGATAGCGTAATTGATTTCCGTAATACTTATCCGCTGGATAGTGATTTATCCGGTGGATAGCGCTATCCAACGTTTGAGCAACCGGGGCCAGGTGCATAAATGCCTGAGATAATTAAACGCGCTAGATGGAAGCAACCATAAGTATGCGCAACCGATTATAAATGTGATTAAAATATGCGGTATCGGTATTTAGACGATTTTCGACGCGGTATTTCGGTATTTGCCATTTTTTCTCACGGTATTGCGGTATTGGGTACCCCCCAATGTCCCCCTCATAAACGGACGATTGTATTTTTCTCTTCATCTTCTTTTCCGCACAAACTTTAAGCAACCTTGATTTATCATTACTACAGTTATATAACATTTCTCATTTAAACCAATACACCATGCAGAGAAAACATTTCCGCGAAAGCAGCAACACTCTGTTATATGCTAAATCCACACGCCACGATGATCGTTCAATAGGCCCCATTATTTAATACTTCCCCAGGTAGGTAATCCGTTAAAGCTTATAAAACGTTAAAGTAACTTCCATATTTCCCCTAAGTTTATCGTTTTTAGTGATTATGTTACGACTAGTAATAGTTGACACTACAGCTGCCCCCGCTCTGTATATTGTCGGTCAATAGTATTCTTGCTCGTTGTGTAGCTCTTTGAAATATACCGATCTATAATGAAGATTTTCACACATATTCCATACAGTAGGTGAGATAAATACAGGAAACGTAAGATTCCATGTACAGTTTCAGTTCGATTTACACAGCTTTGATCAAAACATTCTCAGTTTCGAGTCGGAATAGTTTATTCTAAACCATAAGAAAAGATTCAATTAGAAGTTGAATTTTTCGCTATTTCTCTTTCACTTTTTACATTCAGTTCATTTTATTTGCAGGAAAGTAAGCCTTAGAAATTCAAAGGACGTTTGATCAATTCACGCTCGCGCATTCCAGTCTTGAATTTCTGTAATCGTCCATCGTTCTGCTAGTGATAAGCTAGCAGTTGTTCACTCGTCTTGCTTGTTTGGGGCTGAGTCTTATTCCAGTCAAAGAGAGAGAAAGAGTGTCTGGCAAGGTTTCCAATCAAAGATTTGTGAACTCGTGTCTGGCAAACTCTCCAAGTGTTTATATATACACAGTTATACGCACCTTATAACTTCATCTGCGCTTAACGAGCGTCTTTTGGTCCATAACTTTCAAAACAACTGCTCTACAGAATGTCACTGATAACTCGTAACGCAAAAGAGTATCGAAGTATGACTGCAAAATAAATGTCACAAAATCTAACTATTAAAGGGGTTCCTTGGGGATTTGCGTCTTTACGTCATCCTAACTATTTCGTACTTGCGGACGCAAACAATAGAACCGTCATCATTACCTACCGATTACTCGCGGCCCCTGTTCAAGCAAATCGAGTTTTTTTCTGGCATACTGGTTATATATTTCAACTGTAAGTACTTTCCTTAATATACGCGCGAGTTACAAGAGTGCCTCCTCGGGATTTCGCCTTCTGAGCGAAAATCCCTGCGGGGGCAAAAACGCCTTAAGCATAAGCGTTAAAGTAAGACTTTTGACAAGCCTCGTTTCCATGCTGTAAGAAACAAGGGTCTCGGAAAAGTCTCCTATTCTCTCAATAATTCATCCCGTTTTTAAGCAACTTCCCTGCTGGGACTTTTTGGAACTTTCGATAGGTTATTAAGGATAGTTTTCTGAATCAAAAACAGCTGGAATCTCTTCTATTGCAGTTAGTTCCAGGTTAATCTACTTTTTTCCACAAAATGACTGGACTACCGTCGAACTGATAGAAAAAAGAACTCAATCGAGCTTAATAAATGGATTGAGTTCGATTAAGTTCGATTGAGTTCGATAGCCGAACGTTCGATTGACTACGCCGGGGATTTTTAATAAGATAAATAAGGCTTTAATTTGTAGCTTCCGTATATTCCACCTGCTTTACTATCCGTTTCTAATATTGTATTGAGTTTTGGACCGAAATTTCCGGAAATTTTGGTTGAATGGATCGCGCCCATAGAGTGACTAATTTGACCACTGCTTTATAATCCGTTTCTAATATTGTACTGAAAAGACCGTTTATAAACAAAATTGTGGTGTCCTGTCCTTTTGGCATGAACTATCTCAGATTGCTAACGAAATAGTTCATCCCAGAAAGACAGCAGTGTGTTTACATGTAATAGAATTTCAAGGCAAGATACTTTCCTGTGTTTCACAGCCTGATACATATCATAGTCTTCTGCATTGCTGTTAGGTTTAAGATGTACTATTAGTACCCAGACGGGATAACGCCCCGGGGTCCCAAAACAGTCCAATAGTGCAGTTCGACAGAGCACTGACCCAGTCTCTCGAGCAACATCAAAATGCGGCCTGGGATCAAGGCTTGGCAGCACAGCACCAGGTGGAGTTTCCTAATCAGAATTCGCCATTTGCACATCTCCCATAATACACCTTGTTTGCCCCCAAAATTTTGTATTTTTCATTTCTCCTGGGTCTTACAGCCGTCACAAAATTTTGGGGGGCAGGCAAACAAGGTGAATTTTGGGTGCAGTGCAAGTGGCGAATGCACCATGGCGGAAAACTTAATCCTATGTGCCTTTTATATTGGAAAGTTGGAGAAATTGCCCAACAAACAACACTGCTCCATACCTATGATTTTGAAAGAATGAAGATTCAGCCGTTGGGACATGATATTACAGACAAACATTCTCCAACAAATTTCTTGAAAATTACAGGAAGCTTGCGGGACTCATCGGGATCCTTTCATCAGTGACGCCTGTTGTTGTTCACAGCCATGTATTGATGAGGCTGCAAACTTGTCCTATAAATTGGGTGGGGGAGGGGGGGGGGGGTACTCTGATTACGGTTACTTGCCGGTGGGGGAACATGATTGTTTAAGATCTTGCGGATCTTAGGTGAAGGAAGGTGGTTTCCCGGGGCCCGGTTCCTCAAAGGCCGACGAGCGCTAATGGAGTTTCA